GGGGTGCTGGCCCCCAGCATGTCATGGAGGAGGGAAGGAGCCATTGCTGGAAGAAAGGTGCCCAGCAGCAATGCAGGACATGGCACCGAGCGTCACCCTGTGACCCCACCCCTGATGGACGCCCTGCTGGGTGGGCTCACCCCTCATTGCTCTTGCTTGTCCCTTGTCCTTGCAGCCAGGGTGGGCAAGGGCCACGAGCCACTGCGCCACGGGGAGAGTGAGGGGGCTGCAGTGAGACCCACCCTGGCTGCCTTTCTTACTCCAGGTACAGGTTGCAGCATGATGGCAAATTCTGCCTGTGGGTGGGAGGACGGTGGGAACCTGCCTGGACGTGGGAGCTGGTTCTGGAGGTAGTGGGAGCCAGACCCTGGCCCACCAACCCACCTCGGTGTCCGTCCCACTCCCTCTAGCAGGACGACCCCCCAGCTGGGCCCTGCTCAGCACCTCTTCAAGCTGCTTGTGGCTCAGGAGCTGCTTCCTGGCACTGGGACAGAACTGGCTGCAGCTCCTGCACCACTGAGGGAGGGGGGAGAAAGGTCCCTCCTTCCCTTTGCTTTGCACTATGTTCACTTTTTTTTCGGTACAGACTGAAGCCTGGCTGGTGGGGGTGCCCAGCTGGGGGGGGGACCCCAGCCCTGGCTGTGGCCACCACAGAGCTGGAACAGGGGCTCTTGCAGTTCCAGCACTGGCACTGATCCTGCCCTGGAGCTCGGGAATGCCGTTGCTGGGAGGCAGCGAGGGGGTGTGGGCAGGGCCATGTGGGCAGAGCCCAGAGCCTTTGCCTGCCCCAGCCCAACCCCCGCTTTGCTGGTGGCCTCTGGATTAAAGGAAAATGCCTTTTCCCCCCCTTTTTTTTCTTTTTTTTTTCTGAAAAGCAAAGACAGCAACGATTGCTCAGCGGGGGCTGGTGCGGTGCCAGACTCGGGGCTGCCCCGGGTATCCGGCCTTCCTACCCCCCCACGAATGTCTGTGGCTTCTTCGTGACTTGAATTAATGGTGTTTCACTCCCCATCCCTCTCCATCACCCATGGGTGCTGCCCACAAGGCGCCCTGGATGCTCCACATGCCGGCACACGCCACATCCCACATCCCTGACCCAGGGCACGGGGCCGGGGCTCTGCCCACGCTGGGATCCTGCGGAGGCAGCAGCTGCTGCTGGCACAGCCCCGGGAACTGGGTGAAGGATTTGGGAAGTGGCAGCTGGGCAGGCGGGACGGCCGGGACAAGCGGAGCCGGGACCTGTGCCCATCGTGCAATGTATTCGTGGATCTGTGTACACGTCTGTTAGACTATCCAAAGCTTTGCCAAGAAATAAATGTAATGATTATATTTGAAAGACAAATCTATATAATATATTTTTTAAATACAGAACTGAAAAAGCTGTAACACCCCCCATTTTCTGGTTTCCCCCGTCCTGTACACGCTGTCTGTGGTGGATGTAATAAACGTCGCTGGGTCTGTGTCTGCTTTGGCTGGAGCCGGCCTCGGGGGTCACCAGGGGACACAGGGACCCCAGGACAGGAAGAGGCATGTGCCCCATCCCTGCTGAGGAGAAGGAGGAGAGGGCCAGGGGGACACAGGGGAACACCACGAGCTGGTGGTCCTCCATGCCACCCTGCAGATGTACCTCCATTGGCCCCTCCAGCAGCACGTGCAGGCCTGCCTGCAGGGGCTGCCCCACCGGCGTTGGTCCCATGGGACAGCAGGGTGGCAGCAATGGGATCAGAGGTCAGGGATGGAGTGGTCCATGGATGACTTCACCAGCCCCGCTGACAGCCTGGGCACAGGGACAGGAGCTCAGTGTGGGGAGCCCAGGGAAGGTCCCAGGGGTCCACACAGGGTGGGGGTGGGCACTATGGTCCCATAGTCTCACCGTTTCACCATGTGCTCGTAGATCACAGTGGGGATGATGGTCAATGTGACCACATTCCCGGCCCCTGCCAGCACCTCCGTGAGCTGCTTATCCTGCGGGAGAGACCAGTGGGTGCTGTGGGGTGCCTGACTGTGTCCCATCCCGTGGCAGCTCCCTCCAGCTCCAGCCCCTGTGGCTCAGCCCTGGCTGGATCCCGGACACCCCAAGGCACTGCTCCTACCTTCATGCCGATGACATTCTGGCCATTCACCTCGCAGATGCAGTGGTGGGTGAGGAGCCCGTTGCGGGCGGCAGAGCTGTCCTTGGCCAGCGAGACGATTTTCCCCTTCTTGACCACCACGCCGACGTGGCCGGTGCTGTCCTTGTGCACGGTGACTGTGCGCTGGAAGGGCCTGCGGGGAGAGCAGGGTCAGCACCG